GCTCCAGCCCAGCCCCCCTGCCAAGAAGAGGCTGGTGCAGCCCACCCTCACCCCACGCACAGATCCAGGGGATATATGCCCCCTGTGCTTCCTCCAGGGGTGCGCACGGTGGCAGGAGCTGCACCCCAGATGAGATGCCCATGGCTCCACCCCACACCCCACCCTGCCCCAGCTGGGTAGCACCTGCTCCTGCCCCAGCCCCACTCCCTCATTCACCATGGGGGCCTCAATCTGCACCCAAAATGAGGACACAGCTGTGAGAAGCAGTTATGAGAACATGCCCATGTCACTTAACAGTTTAAGGAACCCCTTGATAAGGCCCTAACAGAGTTCTCCTTGGCCGTGTCTTGGGATCTCCAAACTCAGAAGAATTACAAAGAGGATTCTGAGTAGCTTATTAATTGGAGAAAAGCTGGGACAACATATTGTGGCTTTCTTGTTATAAATTAGTTACACTTCTTTAAATTTGTTAAAATTTGGTAAGAATTAATGAATACACTGATCTAACATCTAATTAAGTTCCTAGAAACTCAGCATGAGGCAATGACAATTAAATTGTATTTAGCATTAAAAACATTTTCTTAATTAGAGGAGCTGAATTCAGGGCTTTGCTACTTATAGTCTTATGTACTTTGTACTCTACCAACATAACAAATGTTAGGTAATGTGAAAGTATCTTTTTTATTCTTATTATCTTTTTCTCTATTTCCTCTCCCTACTCCCTTCTCCTGTGGCCAACAAAAGAAGTGATAAATTACAATTTTTTATTGTTTCACTTTAATTCCCATAGTAAAGAGAAGGACCCATATTGCTATAGTTGCAGCACTTTTACTTTTAATTTTTTTTCCTTTGTTGACAGATTTATAAGGGTCCTGACTGGTCTTTCCGGTATTCAGGGCTCCAGTTGAACTGTGAATACCGCTTTCGTGTGTGCGCCATTCGACAGTGCCAAGAGACAGTAGGTCACCAGGACCTGATAGGCCCCTACAGTGCCACAGTACTATTCATCTCTCAGAGGACTGAACCACCAGCCAGCACCAACAAAGACACTGTGGAAATCACAAGGACACAACGGACTTTAAGTGATGAACAGTGTGCTGCTGTCATCCTTCTGCTCTTTGCTATCTTTTCCATTCTGATTGCCTTTATCATTCAGTACTTTGTAATAAAGTGAAGAAACAGTTTTATTTTAGAATGCTATCCATTACATTTTACTTTCTCATATCTAAAAATATTTCTGTTCTCTTGCTTTTACAAAAATAGGCATTTAACACCGGCATCCGGACTGTATCACATTTTTTCAGTCACTTTAAAATGCTTATTAGGTAGAGGCTCGCACAGATATTAGAATGCAAGCCGAAGAATTGTTAATTTCTTTAACATGCCTTGTAATACAAACTTTACATGGGGCAAGCAATGTATAAAGTTTTGACCAGTAAACAGGAGTGCAGAAATGGTAACCTCGTCCATATTTTTAAGGATTAGTACCATAAGAGGGGGAAAATGTATAAAATGCATTTAAAACTTACACTAATATACTCGTGCTGTATAAAATATTAGTCTGATGCTGTGAAAGCAATCTAGCGCTGTATTTCTACCTCCTCATTTGTCTTAATTATTTGGGAAGCAGAATTATAATGAAAAATGGAAGGGGCTTTTCTCAGGCAGCAAACAATAAACTGGAGGGAAGAGTATGCATGAAAGAAGCTTCTTATCTGATAAATGTGGAGTTCTTCACTGCAAATAGGTATTTTCAAAGGCTAAAAAGAATGGCACAAGTGATGTATCTTGCCCCTAGATTTGATGTCTTCTAGTAAAAAGGCCTCTTTAACTTCTTACAGACATAAAAGAGAAAAAGCGAGAGCTCTTTTTAGATCTGCTACTTTAAAAAAAGTAATTTTAAAAATCATTTTGAAGGTAAGACCTTTATCCAATTGGATACAGTTTACAAAGATGTGTGTGCCCTCTGATCTAGGCTGTGTATACATTTTCTAGGATAATCATAATTTTTGCTGTTACCCTGACATTCACCTGCCATCACCACCAAAATCAAGCACTGCCTTTTTTTTTTTTCCTTTGGGGCACCAAATCAGAAGACAAAAGTGTAGTAATTTGCACCAGAAAACTTCAAGCTGCTTTTTCTTGAGAACCTAATGTTTAATGTGTAATGTCTTTTTGGATACTGTACCAAATTGTTGATTGCATGTAGTTAATGTTGCATTAGAGCACTTTGCAATTGCATAACTCATCAATGTTTTGTGAGCTTGCATATGTGAGTTCTTGAATGACCAGACTGAATTTATCAAGTATCCCATTGAACATCTTGCTAGATGTCAATGACTGCCGGTTACACAAAGCTTGTAGTGAAACTATCTTTAAAAAATTCTTGTCTCATCACATTTATGTTATCTGTTATACACTTTGTAATTAGCATTTTTAATTTATTTCAGTTATAGTGGATCACTAATGACTTCTAGTTGTGTTGGGTTTAGCATTTTAATGGTATTAAGCACTTCTGTCAGTCTTAAAATAATAATAAAAAAGGAACCTCTGTCTTGTGCTTTGAAGATCTCTGAAGAATTTCTCTTATATTAGAACGGGCATGTATTGTAATTGTTTATACGTCCAATGATCTGTGCTGTAGAATAATGTTGCTGAGTTTTGTTTTTAAAACAGAAATGGATAAGAACTTTGCCCTCCAAGTAGTAAGAATGATCTGTCTTTAAAATGTACTGTATGTTTACATTTTATTTTAAATTTGTCACTTTTATGTATAGGCTGATACCTTCCCACAAAAGACAGTGACAGATGTTTTCTAGAACCTTCTTAAAAGTGCCATGTTCGGCAGTACAAATGAAGTTTGAGTGTAACAGCCCAGAGATTTCTATATGGTTGAATGTCTAAAATGATAAGATTTGTCACTGGGGTTAATCTGCAGTGGCTTATGTTTTTCATAGTAAAATTCAAATGAACTCCTATTTTTGATAGTAAATGTCATTTAATAGTGTATTTGCCACTTGAGCCTCAGTGCAGATTACTGCAGTGAAGACAGTTTTTAATGTAATCTTAATTTTACCTCATATACTGTACATTCCAAAAATCTCTAAACTTTTTAAAAATATTATAGATACACTACCAAACATATCACTTTAAAATTGTAAAATGTTGGACTTCATGCAGATGAAAAATGTATAATCTCCTAGAAAATACATAAACTATGTAGCATAAGTATCTTTAAAATCTGTGGATAATAAAAGTATCATTCTTTTTCAAGCTTTGTTAAGTCTTTGGATAGATTGGAGCAGTTTGGAGCACTTCCCTTCTGTGGCAGACTGATGTGTTCCTACCGTTGTGGAAAATACTGGCAAGTTCCTAGGCTTTTTGTCAGTTTTGTGACAGACTGAGCTAGAACAGGGGTGCTCAGCCTCCAGCCCACAGGCCAAGTGCAGCTGGCCCGTGAGTCTCCCCATGGGTCAGGAAATTTGGAGGCAGAGGAGCAGTGGCTATTAATATAACCACCCTTCCCCTTGCCAAATTCCCAATCCCCATGTACCCTTTGAGAACCAAGCTGTGCCCCCTTCTCCCCACAAGGCTGTGCCTTTTCCCCTGCAGGACTGGATCAGGACCAGGACCAGGTCATGTCCCCTTTCCCCTCCCCTCCCTGTAGGGCTGGGCAGAATTTCCTTGCCCCCCTTCAAAGTCAGGCTCAAGCCAGGTTGCCCCCCCACATGGCCAGATGGGGCATTCCAGCCCCGGGCACTGGTTTGGAACCAGCACCCTACCCATGGGCCAACCAGGCACTGCCCATCTGACCCACGGGGTGTAAAGATTCAAGTGCTGCTGAGCTCGAGCATAAGAATTTACTGGGTCAGACCATAGGTCTATCCTGCCCAGCCTCCTATCACAATAGTGGCATACAACAGATGCTAAGAGAGAGGGAACTGGGTAGGGTTATGCTTTTAGTCTTAAATACTGCAGCACATGAGCTTACTACCTAGAGACCTATGTCTGTCTTACCCAGCATGTCACACCGGGGCAGCGAGCAGATGCTGAGGGGGAGGGAACTGTGTAGGACTAGGGTTGTTCCCCACTGTTTCTGTCCCACTGGCACCGAAGGTCTGGGAAGCTCTGGGTGCATCTACATGAGACACCTACTGCACATTAGCCTAATAACACTGCCATGGACAACTAGTGCCTCCCAAGTCTGGGGGGGCACCAGATTGCCAACAGGGGGGCCTCCCCCAGCAGTCAATCTGCCAGCACTTCCTGTTTCGTGGCTGGCACTTCCAGGGGGTGCACAGCCCACCTCAGGGGGTGCATGTGCACCCCTCCATGTCACCAATGAATGCTGCACAATAGTGTGTCCCAGCAAAAACCTGCAGGGTGTTTTTAGGCTAATGCTCAGCAAGCATCACTAAAAAGCCACAGGTGCTACTGCACACAGTAGCTCTAGTTACTGAATGCAGTTAGTACTTCCTTAAGGAAGCACTAAACTAAACGTGCAGTATCTAAGGCGCACTAACCAACACATAGACTCGCAGGCTGTGCCCCTCGCTCTCCTGCTCCGCAGTTCCTACTGCCCCTTTCCCCCCAGACGACGTCCAGCCCCTTTCCGGAGCTCGTCCCCAAGCCCGAGGAGCTGCGCGGTCCCCTCCCCTCGACGGATGGGTGTTTTCTTGCATCGGTCTCGCATCTCCGCCGTCAGCCTAGCACTGGGCCCGAGAGGAAGCGCTCTCGGGGCGGGGGGCGAGTCCCGTGGCCACGCAGGAGCCCCGTGGAGGGGAGCGGGGGCACGCCGTCCCGCCTTTCCAGGAGCCCGGCGTGTTTTTCCTCGCTCGCGTGAAGCCGCCGGCCTGAGACGGCGCCGCTTTCCTCCTGGGGGCGGACCGGGGCAGGAGGCAGAGGAGCTGCCGGGGCCGGGGCGTGGGATCCTACGCTGAAAACAAGGGGGCGGGATAAAACCCGGACGGCGCTGGGCAGGCAGGCGGGATGCTGGCAGCATGGGCAGCGGGAACGGCAGCGGCGCTGTGGCTGCGGGGGAGCCGTGGGCTGTGCCGCCGTGCGACGAGCGCGTGTGCTCGGCGCTGCCGCTGCGGGCGCTGGTGCCGGTGACGGCCGTGTGCGCGGCGCTGTTCTTCGTGGGCGCAGCGGGCAACGCGCTGACCGTGCTGGTGGTGCGGGCCGAGCGCGGCGGGCGCAGCACCACCAGCCTCTACGTCGGCAGCATGGCCGTGTCCGACCTGATGCTGCTGCTGGGGCTGCCGCTCGACCTGTACCGCCTGTGGCGCTCGCGGCCCTGGATCTTCGGCGCGCTGCTCTGCCGCCTGTCGCACTTCGTGGCCGAGGGCTGCACGTACTGCACGGCGCTGCACATCGCGGCGCTCACGGCCGAGCGCTACCTGGCCGTCTGCTTCCCGCTCAAGGCCAAGGTGGTGGCCACCAAGCGCCGCGCCAAGGCCGTCATTGCCGCCCTCTGGGCCGTGGCGCTGCTCTCGGCCGCGCCCTTCCTCTTCCTTGTGGGGCTGGAGCCGCCGGCCGCCGGCAACCTGAGCGACCTGGGCCGCGAGTGCAAGCCCACGGCGGCGGCCCAGGAGTCCGGCCTGCTGGGCGCCATGTTCTGGGTCACCACCGCCTACTTCGTGCTGCCCGTCGTATGCCTGCACGTGCTCTACGGCTTCGTGGGCCGCCGCCTCTGGAGCAGCGAGATGCAGACCCGCGGGCCCCGCGCCGCTGCACGCCAGCGCGGACAGCGCCACACCGTGCGCCTCCTGGGTGCGTGAGGGGGCTTGGGTCCGCGCCACAGCGCGCGGCTCCTGGTGCGTGAGGGGGTCTGGGACTGCGGGGCCTGGGACCGCCGCGGGGACCCACAGCGCAACAGCGTGCGGCTCCTGGGTGTGTGAGGGAGCTTGGGTCCGCGCCACAGCGCCCGGCTCCTGGTGCGTGAGGGGGCCTGGGACTGCCGCGGGGGACCCCCACTGCCACAGCGAGGGCTCCCAGGTGCGTGAGGGGGCCTCAGACTGCTGCAGGGACCCCCAGTGCCACAGCGCACAGTTCCCAGGTGCAAGGGGGCCTGGGACTGCCACGCCACGTGGCTCCTGGGTGCGTGAGGGGGCCTGGGACCGCCGCAGGGGACCCCCAGCACCATGCTGTGCAGCTCCTGAGTGCGTGGGGAGTTGGGCCTGGGACCACCATGGGGCACCCCCAGTGCCACACCATGCAGTTCCTGCATGCATGAGGACCACTGGAGGTGCCCCTTGGGACCCCAATAGGGAGGCCCCCCTAGGGCTGCCTGAAGCAGGATCTGGACCTGGGGAATGGAAGGGAGGTCCCCTCAGTGCTGCCTGCTGCCCCCCCGCGGCTGCTTTCCACCCTCTCCAGCCCAGCCTAGGTGTCCTACTGGCTCCTTGCCCCACAGCTCTGTTGCCTTATTGTTATCCCCCATGCTCCTCACAGGGAAGGCTGCCACACCACCCATGAGGCTCCTGACTGCCTCCACCCAGGTGCTGCTGTGTTATCTCTCATGAGGATCCCACCTGTACCTGGCAGGGAGGGCTGCCCACAGGCTCTCCCAGGCTTCCGCTCTCTCTGCCCACAAGTAAGGCTGCTACAGCCCTTCAGGTCTGGTGCAGGGGTGGGGAAAAGGTGCCCAGGGCTTGCACAGCCACAGGGACTTCCTCAAACCCCACATTTCTTGATTTCCCCTGGAGAAGCTGGTGGGGTTAACTAGGGATGAGTTTCAACCAGTGATTCTCAACCTGAAGTCCCAGGAGATCCTTTCAGGGGTACCATGGGGTGTCAGACAGTGGGTTAGCACTGCTGGGTGCACAAGTGCAATTCACCTGATAAACCCAGGGATTTCCAATAGGAATCTGCAGTGTCCAAAACGCTCTGCCCTGCTGTGGGCTTGCTGAGTTTGCAACAGAATTGCTCTGGTATTTTTCTGTAGTCGAAAAATGAGGGAAAACTAAGAGCTGGCATTTCCCAGAGGTGCAATGCCTTGAGTCTAATAAGGTTGAGAACCACTGACTCAGACTGTTCCTCTTTCCCTAACACCCAACACTGTATAATTTGTTCTGTGAAGCTCCACAAAGGAGCCTCACAGAAGTAACATCCCTGTATCTACATAAGCTTGGATGTACAAGTCATTTTAGAAAAGATATACGTACATGGCAGCATATCCC